CGGATGAGCAGGCCTGACGGAGTTGCCTTCGAGGTTGACTCCGGTTTTCTGTCGCCGAGGGCGATCTGGGAGGGCAGCTTGCAGAAACTGGGGGGTCAGATGGCGGACAGGAGGAGATGTATATCCCCGTCAAGGTTCTTGGCCGCGGGGCGTTCGGAGAAGCCATTTTATACAGGAAAACTGAGGTGTGTTGTCGCAAATCTACATGGGTGGGCGCGACTGTATCTCAGCAACCGGATACCACAAAGTGACTACTGACGCCTTGTAGCTCACATGTAAAGTAGAACAAATGTCAGAATCATCCTGGTGTTTCGGGTCGTCGCTATTTAATGAGTATAATTGCATGCTTCAAACGATAAACCGTTGGACATGTTGAGGAGTGTGTGATTTTGAATGAACAAGATGAATGGGACGTTGTTGTTTACATCGGTGTGCAGACTCTGTCGACGGGTGTTGGTGTGACTGTTACGGTTCACCTGGAACGTACTGCCGGTAACTGTACCTGTTAGCCGTGCAGTCATGCATGGAAACTGGACCATAGAATCTACTCTAGACTAGTCAGGCTACATGATATCCACCAATTTGACCAAGTCTTTTAGTTTTACACTTTGATCCAAATGCTCCCTTAAATTACCTATGTAACGTTACAGGAAATGAATGGATTGAACATTGTTTTAGTTAGCAGGGCGTGCCAAGTCAGGTTATTGTTGCTAATAATAACCCAAAATGTGTAACAAGTACAACTGAACATCACCATAGTGATACGTTTTCTGGTACTCCAGCCAGATAGTCAAGTAACATTCACTCTTTTTTAATTTAAGTACCCCTGTGAAACACAAGTCCAATCTAAGGGCTTAAAGATCAATCAATGTGTTATTGAAGGGGATATCAAACAAAATTAATCATGTGCTGAAGTCCAGTTCCCCCTCCCCCACTCTCCCCCTACCTCAACTCTTCCCCATACCCCCTACCTCAGACAGTTAACATCTCTGCTCCTAATTATCCCTATATTTTCCAAATTTTGACTTGTCGTGGCAACAGATTATAAAAAACCACAAGTTCACAATATGATTGTAGCATGCATCGTTGCACTATATACCTCTACTATTATGTGCAATATATATTTTCTTTGTTGATGATTGCTGTACTTGAAGGTAAGGCATGACATTGAACATTGATCTTGTGCCCAGGTGTATTTTCCGAATTCAGGGGTGCCCTAAAAATTCTCAAATGGTAGCCTTTCCTATAAAATAAAATAAAAGCCCATATACTACACATTGCAAACAGGACATTGATAGTTGGTATAGATATATATGGATAAAAAGTGGCAAGTGTGCCATAGTTTCTGTATTTTGCTGGTTTTGTCAGAGGATACGGGCTTCGACAGTAGCCATCTTGCATGACTAGGCGAGGTCACTGGCTGAAGTTTTATCTCACAAATGACAGAGTTGAATGAATGTAGAATTAGAGCTGATAGTAAATACCTGCAAAACCACATTACAGACTGCACTATAGATAAACAAAGGATGGTTCCATTCTCCTGCATAATCCGCAACATTGTAGCTTTGGCAATAATTAGGACATGGCAATAATTAGTACCAG